CGGAGGCGGGCTCACGATGGTAAACACAAAGCGGTCTTATATTCTGCTGCTGATTGTGGCATAGTTGTTTTTACTACTGGCGTGGCCCATGTAAATGAAAGGATGGGGTTCGAACCTCCACGGGGATTTCTGCTTTTCATTTCTGGAAGTCCCCTCCTCCCTCTGCCACGTATTTTGCGAGGGTATTTTTTTCCGACTTGGGGGTAGCCATGACCTGTATTTGCAGCAATATCTGGCGTGTCGCGGTTCTTAGAAAAAAATGTATGTGTTAATAATAATAACAATAATAATAATAATAATGATAATAATAATAATGATAATAATAAAAATAATAAGAATAAAAATAACAATAGATAGAAAGATAGCATTTGTATAGCGCAAATCCCCGCTCAACAGCAAGCTCTCATGCGCTTCACAATTTATTACAATATAAAAATATATAAACATGATAGACGTTAGGCCCAACAGGTCACCTGAACTGATCGAATATTATGATCGATAAACGGGATATTAAATAAAGGAGAGAAGGAAAAAATATCGTATCGATATATGAGAGAAAAAATGTTCTGATGAAAAGTTCGCACAAAGATCGTACATAACAAGATGGTCCACTCGGCCAAAAAAGTGTCCGCCGGAAGTCCGCCCATTGCTTCAGATGGCGCTGCAGTCTGTTTTGAAGCTCTCTTACGTTTCTCCAGAAGAAGAATAGGAATAGCACCCCCTTGCGTGCGCAGATCGACTGCTGTTCATCAGCTGTTCGGTTCCTTCAGTTCGGAGTTTTAGTATTTTTTATTTTAATGACCTCTCGCCTCTCATTCTAAAGTCAAATTAAACCAAGAAAACAGTTGCCTCTTCCGGAGAGGTTTTTTTGTCAGCGTAACCATTAAAAAAATGCGTTCTTCCGAAATTTGAATTCTTATTTACTCAAAAACTTGTTAGTTTCACTTTTTTATTTCACACAAGTAGGGTACCTCTGTTCGCAAAGGGTGCGCATTTTCGAAGAGGGCGCCACCAAATTTTTGAGGACACTTTTTTAATTGGCTCAAAGAGAGGAGTGGACCATCTTGTTGTTATATTGTATGATCATTGGTTCGCACTGACAACTCTCGGAAGCGATCGAGAGCTTAATTTTTCGCACTGCTGCACACCGACGCGCGAGGAGAGAAATACAATAGGCCTCTATGTATAATGGAAACCGCTGAGGATCATCATTATTTATCGATAAGTTCTATTATTATTGATTTTTCTCTCTATTTCTCTCTCTCTGTCTGTGTTGACATGATCTGTGAATACTTGAAGCATGGGCCAGTAGACAGTAGATTTATTGCATGCTGCCTGGTTGCAAACTTTCTATTATAATGCCGTTTTTTTTAATTATTATTATTATTGTTATGAATCATTTCCGTAGAACAAAGAGAGCAAACAGAAGGTGGTGAGGATGGCTGCACGACCCAACAGCTCTGGCCCCGACTCCTCGGCAGGCAGTTCCGCGGACCTCCCGCCTGTGTCAGGTCTGAACAAGATGGGCGTTCTGCCCGAGGAGTGGACACTGCCGCATGAGTGGAAGATAGAGAAGCGGGAGGTGTTTGATGTAAGTTGCTCCTTAGAATAGTTATAGAAGTGACGGATATCGTTGGATGAAGGTTGCTAGTTAGATAGAGAATTGACGGCTATCGTTTGAGGAAAGTTGTTTGTTAAAAAGGGAAGCGAGAGATGTTTTTTGATGAAGATTGATTGTTAGAGAAGCAGGGGATATCTGACGAAGCTACTCAGATAGAGAAGAGGGAGATGTTTGATGAAGGTTGCTCCTTAGATAGAAAAGCGAGAGATGTCGTTTGTTGAAGGTTGTTAGATAGAGAAGCGGAGATGTTTGATGAAAGTTGCTTGTTAGAGAAGCGGGAGATGTTTGATGAAAGTTGCTCCTTAGATATAGAAGCGTTAGATGTTTGATGAAGGTTGATCCCTAGATATAGAAGCAAGAGATGTTTGATGTAGGTTTCTCCTTAGCGATTATTGTCACAATTGTTT